TTGCTGGAATTGGGTATGTCTAGTTTAATGAAGAGAAGGACGAGGGGGGACATGATAGCAGTGTTCCAATATCTCAGGGGCTGCCACAAAGAAGAGAGAGTCAAGCTATTCTTCAGAGCATCTAAAGGCAGGACAAGAAGCAACAGATGGAAACTAATCAAAGAGAGAAGCATCCTAGAACTAAGGAGAAATTTTCTGACAGTTAGAACAATTAATCAGTGGAACAATCTGCCTCCAGAAACTGTGAATGCTCCAACATTGGAAGTTTTTAAGAAGAGACTGGACAGCCATTTGTCTGAAATGGTATAGGGTTTCCTGCCTGAGCAGGGGGTTTGACTAGATGACCTCCAAGGTACCTTCCAACATTATTGTTGTTGTGGTTGTTGTTATTGTTTTAAAGGGTGTTCTCCATCCCTCTGTGGTTGGAGCACTTTTCCATTCTGGACAGCATGGCTAATGGTGAGGAATAACAGAAGCCGAAGGCCACAAATAGCTGGAGGGAGATCAGATTCACTGCACTGGCTTCTGGCAGCAATTCTTCCAAAGGGATGCTGCCTTCAGTCCAGATTCCTACCAAATTAACCTGGAACTCAGTGCAGTATACCACAATTTCTCTATGCATTTTCTAGCATTTTATTAGTTCATTCCAATTTTAATCCCAATCCAGTATGCCTTCAAAGGGTGTAATACTTCCAACCCCAAAAGATTAAGCTGCTGTACAATATAGGTAGAGGAATAGGGAGAAGAAATTGAGAGGGGGGGGGGTTAGGTAGCTTTGTACACCTTGTGTGCTCAGCAAAATGATTTGTTTTTGTGGCATGCAACAGAAGCTGCACAAAGGCCTGATGACCTATTTCAGCCACTTACTGCTCTTTTCTTAAAACCGTATTTCTCAAAGTCTCCCTCTGCTGGCCAAAGCATAACCTTGTTCTAGTTAAGGATTAACCTATATTTGTCATTTGTAAAGCCTGTTGGACGACTTCTTTACAAGTACACCATCCCGTCACACAATACAAAGAACTATTAAAATACTGCTTTATATAGCCCAACATTCTCTCTTTCAACAATGATTGGCAAATTTTATATTTTACCTATTCTGAAAATTGTGCAACAGCAGCCCAAAAAAGCTAATACAATCCTTGGTTGTGTAAACAGGCATAGAATCAAAATCACATGAAGTATTAGTATCGCTTTATAAAGAGTTGGTAAGACCACACCTGGAATACGGCATCCAGTTTTGGTCACCACATTACAAAAAAGATGTTGAAACTTTGGAAAAAGGCCAGAGAAGAGCAACTAAGATAATTAAGGGCCTGGAGACAAAAACATACGAAGAACGGTTGCAGGAATTGGGTGTGGCCAGTTTACAGAAAAGAACTAGGGATGGCAAAGATAGCAGTATTCAGTATTTGAGGGTCTGCCACAAAGAGAAGGGAGTCAAGCTATTCTCCAAAGCGCCTGAAGGCAGGACAAGAAGCAATGGATGGAAACTAATCAAGGAGAGAAGCATCCTGGAATTAAGGAGAAACTTCCTAAGAGTGAGGAAAATTAAGCAGTGGAACAGTTTGCCTTCAGAATTTGTGGATACTTCATCATTGGAGGTTTTTAAGAAAAACTGGACAGCCATCTGTGTGAAATGGTCTAGGTCTCTTCCGGAGGTTGAACTAGAAGCTCCCTTCCATATCTATTCTGATTGAATGAAATCTTATAATCAAAAGTAAACTGATGCAGAATATGGAAGTTCTCCTTAATTATGTTGTCATCAGTGACTCTATTTCATCCTTCAGAATTTAGGAAAGCGCAAGTACTGTCCTAATCTAGAAGAAGAAATGCACACACACACACACACCAGCAACAGATAATTTTATTGAAGGGGATGAGTGGGAGACAGATCCATTCATAAAAAGAATGCATGTGTGTAGAATAAGATAGTTTACCATGCTCTTGATTTTACAATAATCCAGAAAATCATGTCTGTCTAAATCAGATGCAAGTACCGGTAAATAAGATTTCCACTAACTCTGAATTAATCAGGATTAGTCTCCTGCAATTGCTTGAGAGGAAAGGGGGTGCCGATTCCCTGTTTTAAGGACTTGGATGCTCACTGAGGACCATTCTGAGGTCCACTGCCCATTTCTCATCTGTTTCCCCTGAGCAGAAGAAAATGGCTGTTGAGAGTGGAGGGAGAAGAGCTGTGAGGAAGGGTTACAGCCAAGACAATGGTCAGATAAAGGAAATCTGAGCCCAAAGCAGAAATGTAATTTGAGAATGCATTTCTTATTTTCAGGGAAACACGGTACCTGTATGTGATCACACATGACATCACTGTTACTTTTACCAGATGCTATGCCAATAGCCTATTTCTTTCACTAAAGAGACAACAGAAACCCTTAGAATTAGGTTTTAAACATTTAACATGCCAAATGTACTATTAAATTCAGATACAAATGTCACCAGGAGTGTAAAGAAATAATTAAATAGTATCCATATGCGGGTCTTTAACTTTGCTGTTAAAACAGTAAAGAAATAATCCACAACATTTCATTAAAAACAATTTCCCTCAAGGATTTACTTCATCCTTTTATCAAGTATGTAAATGCTTATTTGAAACATTTATATAGCCACCCATCTTATATGGAAAATAATTATCACAGGGAACTTACTGAAACTGCCTGGATTTATATAGAAAATAAAATCAGGCTGATTTTTAAAAGTATGGTATTTAAGATTAGCTATATGGTACCTGAATAGTATGAGTTAGTATCAGTTCTTCAGGGTAAATCAGATTAGGAAACAAACACCTTAAGAATCTGTGGAGTTTTTTCTTATTAAGGGAACAATAACAGAATCTTGAAAGCCTGTCAGAGATTCTGTCTTCCCCCTAGTATACCAAAGAGAATCAAGGCAGAGCAATCTTGAGCTTCTTTTTCAAGCCTTCCTTTCTTTCAGGGGTAAGCTGGTGTTTACCTAACAAATTCCTTTTACAAGACCATCTCATAAGAGCATTAGCAGTGCTTTGCTGGAACAGACTCCTGGGCCATGTAGTGCAGCAGTTTGTTCTCACAGAAGCCAGCTTACTGCACAAGGAAGCCCACCTTCTTCTCCCAGTAGATGGCCCTCAGAGGCAGCCATCCTGCCATCAAGGCTAATAGCCATTGATCCCCATGACTTCTGTGAATCGGT